GGCGCCTCGGCGATGGTGGCCTCCTCGGCGACTGCCTCCGCGGCGGCGGACACCTTGGCGGCGGCGGACTTGGCGGCGACCTCCTCGGTGGCGGACTCCTCGGCGACGACGGCCACCTCAGTGACGGACTCCTCGGCCGCGGACTCCTCGGTGGCTGCCTCCTCGGACTCCTCCTCGGTGGCGGACTTGGCGGCGGCCTCCTCGGTGGTCGCCATCTTGGCGGCGGCCTCCTCGGTGGTCGCCTTCTTGGTGGCGGCCTCCTCGGCGGTCGCCTCCGCGGTGGCCGACTCGGCGTCCTCCTCGGCGGCGGCGGACTCCTCGGCGGCGGCGGACTTGATGCCGCACGCCTGGGTGAGGGGAGAACACGCAAGTGTGCGGAGACAGGGAGACCGTAGAGGGATGATGACAATCCTGGCGTGCGCACACTCACCTCGGCTCCGAGGAGCGAAGGCGACAGCGACGTGATGCCGACAGGAGCCGTCGGCGCCGACTCGGACGGGACGTCCGTCCTCGAGCGAAGCGGGCTCGCCCTCGGACGGGATGACGACCTCGAGCGAAGTGGGCTTGCCCTCGGACGGGATGACGTCCTCGAGCGAAGCGGGCTTGCCCTCGGACGGGATGACGCCTCGAGCGAAGCGGGCTTGCCCTCGGACGGGATGAGGTCCTCGAGCGAAGCGGGCTTGCCCTCGGACGGGATGCCGGCGGCCTCGCCTCCGGCAGCGTTGACGGTCGTGTTGCCCGCCAGCGACGCCTGTGTCAGAAGGCCAGAGGATACGTCTTGCAGGTGGGAGCGCATTGTCACGTGCGCGCAAGCACACGCCTGCTTGTCAGCAAGCGGCGGCGGCGGAGGAGAGAGCTTGAGCACGAGCTTGTCACCGGCGGCCGGCACGAGCTCGAGTTTGAGCTTGTCGAGCATGTTGATCGAGTTCCTGCAGCGCGCGGGGGTATGCACGCCAAACTAAGAGAGTCAATAGATGCAGCTCATGGAGAAGGCTGTGTGACGGGTTCATGTGAAGGCTGTGTGAAGGACAACGTGTGGAAGTAAAGTGCTACTGGTTTGAGTTACTGGAGACTGTGCAGAGCACCACTATTATTACTGGTCACTGGAGACTGTGCAGAGCACTCCTATTATGACTGGGGACTGGAGACAGTGCAGAGCCACTAGACTGTGCAGAGCACCATTATTATTACTGATTACTGGAGACTGTGCAGAGCACTCCTATTATGACTGAGGACTGGAGCCTGTGCAGAGCACCATTATTCTTACTGATTACTGGAGACTGTGCAGAGCACTACTATTATTACTGGGGACTGGAGACTTGTGCGGAACACTCGGCGAACGGAGAGGTCAGCACCTACGGGATCATGACCATGTGAAAGAGGGTCAAAAACTGCTATGGAGATGTCCAGGGGGTATATGGGGTATATGGGGGTATATGGGGGTATATGGGGGTATATGGGGAGGAAGGAGAATATCTCGAGGAATCTCCGAGAATTGGATCAATCGTCGCATTTTCCACCCCGCCGCCCCCCTCCCCCAGCCCCCCCCCCCCCCACCCCCACCACGCCCTCCCCTCCCCTTCGAGCCTCGCCTACACAGACAAAAAGAAATCGACGGCGGTCGCGTGGAGGCAGAGGCGATGCTCAAAGAGAGAGAGAGAGAGAGAGAGAGTGTCGAGCCAGGTCACTGCCACACCTACGGGCAGCACGCCTCGGCGTTAGCATCGCGACGACCGGCACACTCTCTCGTGTCCTCGGCGCTAGGACTGGAGCCGGGCAGCGATTGGCAAGCGAGCGGGCTGCGTCGCTCTCTCGCCGGAAAAGAGTGGGGGCAATCGGGCGGGTTCGCTCGGTGTAAGGGTGGGAAACGAGCGGCAGCGGCCGCGTCTCGCGGCTCCCCGATGGCAGCAGCCTCACCTGCGAATGGGAGGTGGCAGGCATTGTGAGGCCGAGGGGGGCGTAGCCGCTCGGGCGCCAAATCGAAGCGCATCGCATGGTGGGAGCGGAGAGGGAGCGGCGGGTTGCGTGAGCAGGAGGCGTCGCGCCGCTCGGGCGTGCAGCTCGCCGCGGCCATATGTGCGTCGACGCGGCGGGGCCAGCGCGAGCGGAACGGGAAAGGCGAGGGTTGGACCTTGTGAGCCCCACGTCGAGGGGAATGTGGGGATCTGTCAGGATCGAGTAGTTCCGGGAGGTTTCTCATATGAAGGGTACTATTTTCAATCAAAAACAGCGCCTTCAGCACAACTATTTCGAGGTCTCGCGGATCTTGGACCTGTGGACCTGTGGCGACGTCGAGGGGAATGTGACGCGCGCTTTTGGATATCTATAAAGAAGGACACCGAGATAGCCAGCCGAACGCCCCGCCTCGATCAGAAAGAGCGCCTTCGGCACTACTCTCTCGAGGTCTCGCGGATCTGAGTGCTGAGATTTGTTTGGATGCAACCTTCGCTGCGGGACTAGTTTACCTCGGCTTCTCCACATGACCCAAGCATCTGCACCGTGAGGTGTGATACATTGGCGCGTAAAGGATCAGTCTGGAGTCGAGAGAGAGAGATTTTTAGCAATACCAAACAACTCTAACACTCACGTTGTTCTGGAGTCGCGTGCCTCCACAACGGAAGTGGGAAGAGCTACGCAGTACCTGACATCCCCTGGGGCCTTGCCACTAAAGGCGGAGGGTTGGGAATCAAACAGCTTTTGTGGCCGCACTGCAGGTCCGGAGGTAACCTCAACGTCCTGCAGCCGGCCGCGGCGCCATATAAGGGTTCGCACCTCAGACCAAGTAGAGAGAGAGGTGGAGCTCACCACACGTAGAGCACCGCCGCGTAAACGGGGAGTGGGGGAGAAGTAAGATGGGGGCCGACGACAGGACCCACAGTCCCGCCAAACGACGCCCGTGAAGAGGCCACCCTCGCCCTCTCGGGGGGACGCCGGTCGCGGCAGGGCTACCTTTCAGGCGCGGGCGCGCGGGCGCGGCGGGCGCGCCGCGGCATCGCCGGCGCTGGCGAGCAAGGGCGGCGAGGAGCTATCGCGGCGTGGGAAGAAGGCGGTGGCGAAGGAGGCGGGCGAGGCGGTATCACGCGAGGAAGGCGAGGCGATTTATCGCGCGACGCTCGAGAATTTTGAGAATTCGTCACCAAGGTCCGGAGGGAACATGGGGAACATCTCACTCAGCCCGCCACTAACTGTCAGCCTCTCTGACTGCCCAGGGTCTCACCACCGCGATGCCGCCCGAGTACCTCCCCCATCTCTGTACACAGCGCTGTACAAGCTCGTCGGCGGGACGCGGGGAACATCTCATGTTCACAATGTCGTCTGTGCACTGTGGCTGTGTGAGAGATTGCTGGAGGTAGAGCAAGCCTGCTCTAGCCTCGCATGTCACTTCCTGTTGTGCCTTGGAGTGCTGGGGGGGGCGACAGGGAGGATGTGGGCTTGAGTTATGTGTACGCCTACTCAGGGTGTGTGGCAGCCCGCTGGCTGTGTGTCTTGTGAGCCTTTTGTGTCTGTGTGTCGCTCGTGCGTGTCGTCATCATCTGTCTAGCGTCCACCCATACCGCGTTGGTGTCCAGTCCGAGCCTGGCTGTTCTTCACCTTTCTACCTAACCTAACTGTGTGTGTGTGTGTGTGTGTGTGTGTGTGTGTGTGTGTGTGTGTGTGTGTGTGTGTGTGTGTGTGTGAGTGAGTGACTCACTCACTCACTCGCACGTCTGTGGCTGCAAACTGTGGCCGCGAAACCAAACAAAATCCTTCCTGGCGGCTCCTCACCCAGCCACAGATTTTCGGCACGACGTACAGCGTCAGCGAAAATCAATTGGTGGACCCTGACGGCACCTCACCGAGATAGCCGCCGGCTCTCGGCGTCTCAGACACACACATATGTGATATGATTGTTGATCGTATAAATAAAAGGCCAGTGTGTTCTAGAGTGCGAGCCGGCTGCCGGGGTGTCTAAACACAAGAGAAATAAACATATAAACGGCGCAAGGCCCATGCCGCGCAGCTCCATGTGGTGCAAGGGGGTGCTGTCAGGCTCTGACACACACCAGCCACACTTATGACACTATCAAGAGGGCGCTGACTATCAAGGGGGCGCTGACGCCGATGACGCCGGCGGCTACGCAGCTGCCCCCCTCCTACGGCGTGATCACGCCGGCGGCGGCGGCCGCCTGGGGAGCGCACGATGGCGGCGCAGGCGCAGGCGCAGGCGGCGGCACAGACCGCGGCGGCCACCCCCACCCAGATGCCGTAGGCATATGACTGTAGGGCCCCAGAAGGCTAGCTGGTAGCTTCATTTGTAGTAGCACAGCCGCCGGTGCTAGAGAGGGGTCCGCAGAGGAGGGTTGAGAAAAAGAGACCCATGACCATCCCATGACTACATGGACCACACTCACGTGTCTTTGCATGTAATTTTGTTACACCCTCATGGGGCACAAGAAGAGGCTCTACGGGGTCTGTGTACGGTCTGTGCTGAGCCGTCGGGCTGTCAGCGCTGCTGTCAGGCCACTGTGTGCTGTCGGGCTGTCGAGGGCACTGTCAGGCTGTCACGTTAGGGCCTGACAGCGACGGGACCCCTCGCCTGTCAGACTCTGCTATGTGTCAGATACGTGCTGTCAGACTGTCGGAGAAAGTGCTGTCAGCGCTGTCAGGCTGTCGGGCACTGCTGTCAGGCGCTGTCACCCGGGGTTTGCTGATGTCAGGCTCTGTGTTGTGTCAGACCAGGGCTCAGTGAGTTTCGCCTTTTTCGGCACATTTCAGGGCATCAATCACAATAGAGACCGCAGGACACTGCGCCTCTGTCGACATAAGACAAGGCACAGACATGACATCAGAACACGAATTCACTCCCACACTTTTGGCCGCTTGAGCCGTGCGTGACCCCCCCCCCCCCCTCAGCCTCACATTCCTCCCCCACCGCCGTGGCGGCCCGCACCGGGAGGGAGAGGAGACCTCTCGCGGCCGTGTCGGGCGCTACGCCCGCCGGCCACCAAGACCGCCGCGCCCTAGTAGTCCTCGTAGTCCTTGTACGCGGTGTAGTGCTTGTAGTACTGGCTCCGCTTCGCCTCCGTCTCGGCCTGCGGCGGGGACGCTGGGCGGGCGGCCGTGCGGCGCGGCTCGGGGCGCCTGGGCGGCGGAGCGACCCGCGGCCGCCCAGCCTGCGGCTCGGCACCCGACGGCCCAAGCCGCGGCGGCGGCTCCTGCGCCGCCTCCGGCCGTGCGCGGGAGAGGGCGTCGCGGCGCTGCTGCCGCTCCACCTCCGCCCGCCACGCCGCCTTGGCCTCCTCCGTCGCCGCCGACGGCGTGGGCGCGACGCCGCCGCCGCCGCCGCCACGGCTGCCGACGCGGGCAGCGCCGTAGCGGCCGCCGCCGGCGCGTGCCTCCGCCCTCGGCCCGTCCGCGGACCACGCCGTCCCGTCGCTCCAACTGGCGCGTGGCATCGGCGGCTGCCGCATCGGCGGCTGCCGCATCCCGCTGCGACCCGGCTGCACCCGCCCCGCAAGCCCGCCCAAGCCGTCCGGCCGCCGCCCCGCCCTCGCATCGAGTGGCGGCACGTCCTTGTGGGAAGCGGCGGGCGCCGCCGCCGCCCCCGCTGCCGCCGCCTCGGCCGCCTCGGCCGCCGGCGCGACCGGAGCTGGGGCCTCCGGCACCTCGGGAACGGTCGTCGGCCCCGACGTCGCCGGCGCCTGCGCCGTCCGCGCCGTCCGCACCGGCGGCGCCGCGGACGACCCGCCACCCCCCCCTTCACCGCCGCCTACTCCTCCTCCCCAAGAGGGCGAGTACTTGAAGTACTTTGCCCGCCGCGCCTCCGCCTCGGAGCGGTCGAGCGCCTCCTTGTACAGCGTGCTCGCCGCCTCTGCGACCGAGGCCGTCCGCGCACTGACGGGCGGCGTCTAAAGGGGAAGAGAGGCGGGAACCGTGAGCAAAGGTGTGAAGACGATCCGCAGTCCGTGCATCGACCGGCGGCGCCTCTGCAGCCGACGCCGGCGCCTGCGGCTTCGAAGTCGCCGCCGCTGTCGATGTCGCCGGTGCGGCCGGAGCCGCGGCAGCGGTCCTCAGGCAGGAGGGCGTAGCGAGCACGGAGAGGGGTGGCCGGTAGGCCTGTGGGACATGTCTCGGACTCATCATGGACATGTCCCGGACATGTCCTGACGGCCTGCTCGTCGCGCTCGCCTGAGGCGCCGCCCCGACAGACGCCTTTGCCCCCGCCTGCAAGCTTCCCGGCTTGGCCAGCCACGCAACCTTGGCGGCCTGCGCTGCCGGCGGCGGCGCCGGCGCCGGGAGCGGCAGCGCGGCCGGGAGCACCGCGGTCGGGGGCACTGCTGTCGGAAGCACCGCCGCCGGATCGGCCAACACCTCGGCCGCTGCCTCCGCCGGCGCCGCTCCTTGCGCCACTTCTTGCGCCGCCCCTTGCGCCGCCCCTTGCGCCGCCCTCGCGCCCCCCGCAGGGGCCAGCTTTGCGAGCCACGCCGCCTTGGCCGCCGCTTCCGACGACGCCTTGGCCGCCGCTTCCGACGCCGCCTCTGCCGCCGCTTCCGACGCCGCCTCTGCCGCCGCTTCCGACGCCGCCTTGGCCGCCGGCTCCGCGGCGGCCGGCGCTGCCTCGGCCTTTGCGCCCCGAGCCGGGGCGTCGAGCTTTTCGAGCCAGGCCGCCTTGGCCGCCGCCTCCGAAGATGCCACCTCCGAGATGGCAGACGGAGGCGGTGGCGCTGCCAGTACCACGGGCGGCGGCAACTGCGCCTCCGAAGCGACCGAAGCCGCCTGGGCCGGAATCACTCCTCGCGCGGCCACCCGAGCCGCCTGGAGCGGCATGGGTGCCGGCAGCACGCCGGGCGCGGCCGCCCGAGCCGCCGGAGCCGCCCAGGCCGCCGCGCCATTCTCTGCGCCCTGGACGGGCGCGTCAGGCTCGGCCGCCGCTGCGCGCGGTACCGCCGCCGCCGTCTCTGTCGGTGCCGCCGCTGCAGGCGGCGAAGGCGGCGAAGGCGGCGGGGGAGGAGGCGCAAGCGGCGGCGAAGACGGAGCGCCCCAAGGAGGGGGGTCGAGGCTGGCCAGCCACTTGGCCTTGGCCACAGCCTCCGTCACCGCCGCCGGCGCCGCCCCCGCCGCCCGCGTCACCGCTGCAGCCGCGGCCGCCGACGCGACCGCCGCCCTCGCGCCCCAGTCGGGAACGTCGAGCTTTGCGAGCCACGCCGCCTTGGCCGCCGCTTCCGACGCCGCCTCTGCCGCCGGTTCCGCGGCGGCCGGCGCTGCCTCGGCCTTTGCGCCACAAATCGGGGCGTCGAGCTTTGCGAGCCACGCCGCCTTGGCCGCCGCTTCCGACGCCGCCTCTGCCGCCGGTTCCGCGGCGGCCGGCGCTGCCTCGGCCTTTGCGCCCCAAGCCGGGGCATCGAGCTTTGCGAGCCAGGCCGCCTTGGCCGCCGCCGCTGGAGCCTCTGCTGTTGCGGCGACCGGCGATGGTGTTGCTGTGACTGCTGGGGGAGGTGCTGCTGCGACGGCTGCTGCGGGCGCCGGGGAGGCTGCTGCTGGGGACGGGAGGGCTGCTGCTGGCGGCGCGGACGCCCTGACCGTCGGCGCGGAGTCGACGCTTGCCAACCACCTCGCTCTGGCGGCGGCCTCCGACACTGCCGCGGCCGCGTGCGAGACGTCCACCCCTCCTGGCACGAGCTTGGCCTTCTCAGCCCCCGACACCGCCGCCTGCGCCCTCTCCCACCTCGTGAGCTCCCGGCCCAGGCGGATGGCCTCCGCCTCAGCCTCCGCCGGCGTGGCCGCCTTCCGCAAGCGCAGCGCCGCCTCCTGCCATCCCAGTGCCGCGACCGCCGAGCACCGGGCCGCGCCCGACACTGCGATCGCACGCGAGGGCGACACTGAGATCGCCGCGGACGATGCCGCGAACAGAAGGGTGAGAGAACACACGGCCGGCCGCGCCATCAAAACCTCCGCTTGAGGTTGCGCGGGGGGTTTCTTTTTCTTTGATTCTTTTCTTGTCGATCCTTTTGTGACCGTCACCGCCCGTCCCGCGTCCACCCATACCGTCGTTGGTCGGACTGTGTTTCGCCTTCCTGTCAATGTATGTTGACATTGAGGTGATGAGGAGTATAAAGGCCGCGCTGTTGGCGGCGGGACGGACGTAAGATAATGAATCGTTGATGCGATCAGGCGTAACAAGTTCAAACAAGCGCGATTGCACAAGGGGTGGAAGAGGGTCTGGCCACCGCGGGGCGAGGGAGGCGGCGGGCCAGATGCCGGATCCGCTGTGCGCGTTCCGGCGTTCGTGTCGGTCAGGGCGCGGCGCTGACCGCGGCGGCCTGGGCCGCGGCGGCGGCGAACGCCGACGGCGGTGGACCATTCCGGCTCATTCAGAGGTAAGCGCGGCCGCGGTGCGTGTGTGGTGCGTGGTCCCATGCGCGATATGCGGGGCGCGAGAGAGTCGAGTGTGATCACGCCCCTGCAACACCAACTAACAACGAAACGAAACCTAAGATACTAGAGGCTGCACCCTCCCCCCACGTGTACATGCAAAAGGTCGACACGAGGTGACAAAGCAATCACGAGATGCAGGGCACGCGCCCTCTCACTGCCCCGGACCCCACGCCTCGATCTTCTTGGGCAGCAGCTGGTCCGACAGGTCCTCTCCGTGGCCTAGACGGCCGTCGGAGCCCTCGCCCCAGGTAAAGAAGGCGCCGTCGGCGGTAACGGTGAGGCTGCGGGATGTTCCCGCCGACACAGCGACGACGCGCCGCCCAGCAAAGGCCTCGACCTTCTTGGGCAGCAGCTGGTGCTGAGTGTTGCCGTGGCCCAGCCGGCCCCCGCCTCCATAGCCCCAGCTCCAGGCAGCGCCGTCGGCGGTGATGGCGAGGCTGTGGCGTGATCCTGCCGACAGCGCGACGACGCGCCGGCCAGCAAACGTCTCGACCTTCTTTGGCAGCAGCTTGTTTTGCTCGTTGCCATGGCCCAGCTGGCCATCCTCTCCATCGCCCCAGCTGCAGACGGCGCCGTTGGCGGTGAGGGCGAGGCTGTGGCTGCATCCAGCCGACACGGCGACGACGCGCCGGCCAGCAAACGCCTCGACCTTCTTGGGCAGCAGCTGGTTCTGCTGGTCGCCGTGGCCCAGCAGGCCCCCGCCTCCATAGCCCCAGCTCCAGGCAGCGCCGTCGGCGGTGAGGGCGAGGCTGTGGCAGACTCCAGCCGACACAGCGACGACGCTCTGGTCAGCAAACGCCTCCACCTTCTTGGGCAGCAGCTGGAGCTGCTGGCCACCGTGGCCCAGCTTGCCAAAGTCTCCCCAGCCCCAGCTCCAGACGCTGCCGTCGGTGGCGAGGGCGAGGCTGTGGCTGTGTCCAGCCGACACAGCGACGACGCGCTGGCCAGCAAAGGCCTCGACCTTCTTCGGCTGCGACTGGTCCTGCTCATCGCCGTGCCCCAGCTCGCCAAGGCCTCCCCCGCCCCAGCTCCAGACGCTGCCGCCGCTGGTGAGGGCGAGGCTGTGGCTCCCTCCAGCCACCACGCTCACGGCGCGCTCACCGCCCAGCGCCGAGGGGAGGCGCGTCGGCGTGTTGAGCTGCGTCACCCCCTCGCCGTGACCGAGTAGCGATGGGCTGGAGGAAGACGCTGAGCCGCACGACGAGAGCCGCCCCTCGCCGTCGATGAAGAGGCTGTGCCGAAAACCCGTCGCCAGCCTCGCCGGCGGGTTGAACTCGCGCAGCAGCGCCGAATAGCACAGCCACCGCACGGCGCAGCCCTCGCCCTCCGGCTGCGCCGGCAGCTCGAAGCCGCGCTCCTGCGCCCACAAGCGGATGCCCTCCGCCGCGAGCGAGGCGTGGAAGAGCAGCGAGACGGCCGCGACGCGGGCGATGTCGGCGGGGCCGTCGAGGCGAGAGACGACGCGCACGAGGAGCTCCGTGGGGAGGTCGAGGAGGTGGACGGGCGGCGGCGTGCTTGGCGAGGGGGCGGCGGAGGCGGCGGAGGCGAGGCGGCGCGAGCGGCGGCGCGGCGGGGTGGACATCGCGAGAAAAAGAAATTTCCGCAGTCCCGCACAGCGCCGACGAAAGACCCCTCTCCTAAAAATCCCTGTGTGGTGGCGGCGTGCCGTCCTCCCATCCCTCCCTTGGGTTGGCCGGTTCTTTCTTTCTTTTAAGGACGAAAGAATCATCAAGTTGGACTTGATGAGCATGGGAGAGACCCATTATGACACAGCCGCATGCTACCTACCACCCGAGAGCCCCGACACGACACGCACGCCTGAGCCCCCCGCCGAGCCCCCAGTCCCCGACCCATCGCCCGCGCACCCACTGCAAAAGCCGTGTCATCCCGCGAACGCCCACGATCCACGCGACTCACGCGGCTCACTCCTCCCTTCTGCTAGGTGCTGCCCGCACCAGGACCTTTCCTCGACCTTTCCTAGACCTTCCTAGGTGCTGCACTTGCCCGCCGGAGCAGCGCTCATGCTGGACGGCTCCGTACGGTGGCGCCTCGTCGACGTGGAGGCGGAGGAGGCCGCCGCCGCCGACGCCTCAACCCCGCGCGGAGGCATCGCGCGCACGTTTAGCAGCCGCGGCCTCACAGACGACTTGTCGCGATGCCTGGTTGCTTTCGAGTACGCGACGCCGCCGCTGCCTCGCGACGACGCGGCTGCGCCGGAGGGGTGGGACGACCGGCTGGCGAGCTGGCGCCGCCTCGCCCAGCGGGCGCTGCTCGAGGCGGCCCTCGGCGCGGTGGCGGCCGCGGCGTGCGCCGGGCTCAGCTCGAGCGTGGTGGTCGACCTGGCAGGGGGTCGGGACAGAGGGGACGGCGGGCCAGAGGTTACTTGGTACTGAAAAATTAATTAAAGGGAGAGGGGTGCCGGACTGGCCCCTACAGGCCCTACGCGCGGCGTGAGAGCTCGGAAGCGAGCTTTGCATGTAATGCATGGCGATCGAGCACGAGGATAGGGGCGCGGTTCTCTCTAGAAAAAAACGACACATGGAATTGGCTTCCCAGGAGCTGTGGACCCTCCCCTGGTGCCTGGACCCTCTCCGGGCCCCAAGCCCCTCCCCCCCCCCTCGGCGATTTGGGGGCATGCGCGCCAGCGGAGTGGCGTTGAGAAGTGTCGTCGCCCAGCTACGACACGGTTAGTCAGTCAGTCACAGAAATCGTCGGTGAGGCTGCTGCTGCCAGCGAAGAAAATGTTGCGCCCATTGCTGAAGTCGTCAGACCCTTCAAGGTTGAACTTCACTTTGAACTGGGCCGTGTCGTGGAACTCGAAGCCGACCGAGGTCTGCTTCTGCTCGTTGGTGAGCGACTGCGGGCTGCTTGGATTTGCCCCGTATCCACTCGGGCCGGCGATATCGTTATTGGCTTCTCTCGTGGCCTTGACGGTGCAGTCACCGGATCCAGTGCTGCAGCTGCTGGTCGTAAAAAGTTGATTTGGATTGGTGAGAATCGCAGGTCCCGTCCGACCGTATTGACCTCCTGCCGAAACTGTGATGGTCTCGCGCAGGGACCATTCGGTAGCGCTGCAACCTCCGGGAGCACTATTGGAATCCAATTGTGAGCAGCGGGCGTCCAGGTCGAAAAAGGTGAACTTGATCACCGTGGGAGGGGGGGTGACGAGGTCTTGGGTGCCGGTCACGACAAAGCTAAACAGCATCTCGGGTTCGAGGTTTGAGTTCCCCTTGAGATTGAAGCGCCCGAAACCTCCCGCTTCAAAGCCATTTTTGGTATTAACATTTGTGTTATATTCGTCTGGGTCAACCACCTCCACTATGAGATCCACTTTGGTGCCATCCGAGGTTTGGCCGACTTGAGGGTAGTTCATGCAACAAGCACGGTTTCCCGTTTTCGCAGCCAGGAGCCCTTTGCATGTCGATGTCCCCGCGGTGAAGCACTTGGAGGTATCCGCGTTGTCTGGCCCTCGGCCGCCCAGGTTGGAATAGACATTGGTTTGTGTGTAAGTAGTGCTGAAATCCATAGTCACGCTGCCCGAGCAAGGGGCAGATGCTGGCGGCGACGGCGGCGGCGGCGGCGGCGGCGACGGCGGCGGCGGCGGCGGCGACGGCGGCGGCGGCGACGGCGGCGGCGGCGGTGAAGCCTTTGAGCATAGACCGTTGGTTGTAAGGGCAACACAGGAGGTCGGCGCAGCTCCATAACTACCGGCGCTGCACGCTGCACCCAAGGGTTGGCATTGATCGTTGCAGATCTGCCGGTCGATGGAGGGTGCCTCGTATCGCGAGGTCGCCGGGTTCCACGTGTAGTAGTCGTCATCGCAGCCTGCGTAGTCTTGAGAGGTCGACACGCACGGGCACGGTGGCGGTGGCGACGGCGGCGGCGGCGGCGGCGACGGAGGAGCTTGTGGCGATGGGCACTCACCCTGGGATCTCGTTACTAAGCCATAATTTCCTGCAGTGCAGGGGTTTGGGTTGCCGTTCCAGAGCGTCGCACGGCAACGGTTGTCTGGACATAGGGAGAAAGCCCGGTCCGGAATGGACAAGTACAGGCCCTGGGTGCCACTGTCGGTGTAGTCCGGATCCCAAATAAACACCTTGCTCAGACACGGTGACGACGGCGGGCCCGTGACACTGACGCAGGTGTGCGGGGGAGGCGACGGTGGTGGCGGCGGTGGCAACGGCGGTGGCGGCGACGGCGAGGGCGGCGGTGGCGAGGGCGACGGCGGGGGAGGCGACGGCGACGGCGGCGGCGGCGAGGGCGACGGCGGCGGCGGCGAGGGCGACGGCGGCGGCGGCGACGGCGACGGCGGCGGCGGCGACGGCGGCGGAGGCGAGGGCGACGGCGGCGGCGGCGACGGCGACGGCGGCGGCGGCGACGGCGGCGGAGGCGAGGGCGGCGGCGGCGGCGACGGCGACAGTGCAGGCGGCGGCGGCGAGGGTGGCGGCGAGGGCGAGGGCGGCGGCGGCGAGGGCGGCGGAGGCGAGGGCGACGGCGGCGGCGGCGACGGCGGCGGTGCAGGCGGCGGCGGCGAGGGTGGCGGCGAGGGCGAGGGCGGCGGCGGCGAGGGCGGCGGCGGCGATGGCGACGGCGGCGATGGCGACAGCGATGGCGGCGGAGGCATCGGCGGCATTGTGGGTGGTGGTTGGCAGTAGAAGAACCCCTCCTGCGCTTGGCAATTGTTCCCACCATCTGTGGGGCTCGTGCAGAGTCTGTGCTTCCCAGATCCCAACGTCCTAGAGTACCAAGCGTCGCAGCCCCCGGCGACACCGGTGCCCAGCTCGTAGCAAAACTTTGGGTTGTTCCGCTGCATTGAGTCCGAGCGACCTTCGAGACTGGAACAGTCTAGTGGGGGCGGTGTGGGTGGGGGGGGTGATGGCGACGGCGGCGAGGGCGACGGCGGCGGCGGCGACGGCGGCGGCGGCGGCGGCGATGGCGACGGCGGCGGCGGCGAGGGCGACGGCGGCGGCGGCGACGGCGGCGGAGGCGAGGGCGACGGCGGCGGCGGCGACGGCGGAGGCGGTGCTGGTAGCTGCGATAACAGCGGCGGCGCCGAGGGCGGCGCAGACGGCGGCGGCGGTGCCGGAGGCGGCGGCGTGGGAGGCGGCGAGGGCGACAGCGACGGCGGCGGCGGCGAGGGCGGCGGAGGGGCCGGCGGCGGCGGTGCCGGAGGCGGCGGCGTGGGAGGCGGCGAGGGCGACAGCGACGGCGGCGGCGGCGAGGGCGACGGCGGCGGCGGCGATGGCGACGGCGGCGGCGGCGACGGCGGCGGCGGCGACGGCGGCGGAGGCGAGGGCGACGGCGGCGGCGGCGACGGCGGAGGCGGTGCTGGTAGCTGCGATAACGGCGGCGGCGCAGAGGGCGGCGCAGAGGGCGGCGGGGCGCACGAAGGCCAGTCACCCGTGTTGCTCGCGCCAGTAAACATGATCTTGGTGCAGCACTTGGTGTTGGTGCCCGTCCTCCCAAGCTCGACGACGAAGTGGTCGGTGTTGGCGAAGATAAACTGCATGGTGCCCGACTGCTGGTCCTCGGTCATGCTCAACGGATCCGTCACGTCGTCGATGGTCTGCCCCGAAGGTTCGGAGATGAACTGCGTCGCCCAGCCGTCGTAGTTCTCTACGGCCGGCGTGGATCCGTTGATCCGGCTGCCATAGGCCACAGCCTCGTAAGATCCTTCGTTGATGGCTACAAACTCCCCGGCCCCCATATCTAGGAACGTGATTGCAAATCTGGGGAGCACGGCCGGTGTGCTGTCGTTGGCGTACACGAAGTTCCAGCTCACCTTGTACGACGTGCTTGCGGGCTGGCCTACCCTGAAGTTGCCGATGCCGCTGGCCAGGCTCACCTTGCAGTGCTTGCCATTGTTGATACCGTAAGTGCCATCGTTGTCGTCGCATTGCGGGAGATCGCCATCCGTCGAGTTGAAGACGAGGTCGATTTGGCGGCCGTCGTACGTGGCCACGTTCACCACACGGGTGGAGAAGGGCGCTGTTGAAGACGTTCGGCCGGCAAAGTTGTCGTTGTATTCCGAGCCGGGAGTGTTGTCGTCGGCTATATAGCTCGAGGCAAAGCCGATTGTGGTCAGATCGCTGAGGCAAGGGGCGTCCTGAACTCCGGGCGAAAACGGAGGCGAGGGCGGCGGCGGCGAGGGCGGCGAAGGCGGAGAGCTCGGTGCGGCAGTCTGGCCAGGAAGGAGAGGCGACGGCGGCGGCGGCGGCGGCGAGGGCGGCGGCGGCGAGGGCGGCGGAGGGGCCGGCGGCGGCGGTGCCGGAGGCGGCGGCGTGGGAGGCGGCGAGGGCGACAGCGACGGCGGCGGCGGCGAGGGCGGCGGAGGGGCCGGCGGCGGCGGTGCCGGAGGCGGCGGCGTGGGAGGCGGCGAGGGCGACAGCGACGGCGGCGGCGGCGAGGGCGGCGGAGGGGCCGGCGGCGGCGGTGCCGGAGGCGGCGGCGTGGGAGGCGGCGAGGGCGACAGCGACGGCGGCGGCGGCGAGGGCGGCGGAGGGGTAGGCGGCGGCGGGGCTGGTGGCGGCGGCGAGGGCGAGGTGGAGGGAGGCGGCGGCGAGGGCGGCGGAGGGGCGGGTGGCGGCGAGGGCGAGGTGGAGGGAGGCGGCGGCGAGGGCGGCGGAGGGGCGGGTGGCGGCGAGGGCGAGGTGGAGGGAGGCGGCGGCGAGGGCGGCGGAGGGGCTGGTGGCGGCGGCGAGGGCGAGGTGGAGGGCGGCGGCGGCGTGGGAGGCGATGAGGGCGGCGGCGGCTTGGGCGGCGGCGGTAGGGGTGGCGACGAGGGCGGCGTCGGTAGCGAGGGCGGACGCGGGGGCGAGGGCGGCGGCAAGGGCGGCAGCGGCAGAAGGGGTGGCGATGAGGGCGGCGTCGGTAGCGAGGGCGGACGCGGGGGCGAGGGCGGTGGCAAGAGAATCGTCACGGGGAAAAAACAATTACTGTCCAAAAGGTCGTCGACTGCTGCCAGAGCACTTGCGACCTCCGCAATGCCATCCGCGTCGGTGAGAGAACCGGGCAATAAGGGATTGTTGACGTTGTCGATCACGGCTGTGACCTGCGCACACAGTGCGAGTGCGCGTGAGCACTCTCCGCCTCCCAGGCAATCTCCCCTGTGTTCTTAGTGGTTGGCCAAGCTGGGCGGCCACCTGTGTGCTGATCACTTGGTTTGCGGCAGACAGGATCGCCGTCTCGTCCACACAGTCGCTGCTCGTGTTTTGCTTGACCACTTGCAGCGATCTGTCTGCGACGGGTTGTGCAACCGCCTCAAATTCTGGCCCCTCGCTGTACTGGTACAACCGCGTGATGATCAGGATTTGGGTTACGGAGCCACAGTCTGCAGTCTGCAGGCGCCGCCCAGCCCCCAGGGGCGGCGAGCTCAAGGGCGGCAGCGAGGGCGGGGGGCTCAGGGGCGGCGGCGCCGTAACGCCGATCGAGTTGTATGGCACAACCGTGACATTGCAGAGCGCCGTGCCGTAGCACGGCCCGTCGTTGGAGCTTTGCAGAACCTCGATGAGGGTGGGTGAGTCGAAGATCGTCTGCGTCAGCAACTGGATCGAGTCGCTAACGCTCATCTCAATAGTGGTGCTGGCGCTGAGCGGCTCGGGAATGGCTTCCGAGAAAGCAGCGTAGATGGCATCGGCAAACGGCTTGGAGGATGCCGATGCGTTTAAGGCATTGCACTCCGGAGGACCCTGACAGCCTATCTCGGCGACAACCTTCAGAGGCGGCGGCGAGGGCGGCGGCAGCGTGGGCGGCGGCGACGGCGGCAGAGATGGCAGTGGTGACGGTGGTGGCGAAGGCAGCGGCGAGGGCGGCGGAGAGGGCGGCGGAGAGGGCGGTGGGGCGGAGCACTCGGAGCAGGCCCCGCAGCCAATCCAGGTGCACAGCACCGGCCACGGATGCGTTTTCCTCTCACAGTGCGGCTTGCACTGGGACGGCGGCGGTGGTGACGGCAGCGCAGGCGGCAAACTGCAGCACGGGTCGGTGGTTGGGAACGGGTTGACGGCGGTGAAGAGGAAGTTGCGCCCGCCGCACGGGGTGGGGCTGCAGACGGCCGCCGTCGTTGAGTAGGTGAACCTCACCGTCGAGGTGTCGCGGTACCAGAGCGTCACAGACTTCGCGCGCTGCTCCGCTGTCAGGGAGGCCGGGTCCGTCGGGTTGTCCGCCAGCGTCCCTTCCCTTGTGGAGGAGAAGGTGACGGAGCCGTCCGGCGCGGTGCTGACATCGAGCTCCGTGTTGGGGTCGACGTCGTACTTGACGAAGCCGCTCGCCGTGAGCGACTCCGCCCCAGACGGCAGGTCCGTCTCCTGGTCGAGGTCGTAGTAGGTCAAGAAGAACTCGCCCAGCACGACTGGCTGGCCGCTGCTGTCGACAAAGTCGAACCGCAGCGTCACAGTCTCGTCCTGCGCGAGGTTGATCTGCGGGATCGCGACGTTGATGCGGTTGTGCTTCGCGGCATTGCGCGGCACGTACTCCGTCTCGCTGGTGATGATCAGGTCAAAAGGCTCGCCGTCGGCCGTCATCCCGACTGATGCGAGGTGCATGTTCTCCGGAGAGTCGTCCGGGCCGGGGCCGGCGCCGCCGAGGTTGTTGTTCTGCAGCGTCGCCAGGCTGAAGTCGATCAGGTTGTGCGTCTCGTCCGAAGCACAAATGCAAGGAGACGACGGCGGTACAGGTAATGGGGGCGGAGGCGGCGGTTGCAGTGGGAAGGGCGGTGGCTCCCGTGGCGACAGGCAGCATGGATCAACAACGGGGAACGGATTGACGCCTGCAAAGAGGAAGTTGCGCCCGCCGCACGGGGTGGGGCTGCATGTGGCCGCCGTGGTCGAGTAGGTGAACCTCACCGTCGAGGTGTCGCGATACCAGAGCGTCACCGAGCGTGAGAGCTGCTCCGACGTCAGTGACAGTGGGTCCGTCGGGTTGTCCGCCAGCGTCCCTTCCCTTGGGAATTCGGTCGGTTGGGCGAAACTCGGGTCGTCGGGTTATGGTGACAGGTATACGCTGTAGGCAAAAGAACGTCACTCGTAGTGAGAGGAAAGCGAACGAGTCACTTTACGTACAGGTTGATCGTGATATACAGTTGTAGATCTAACCGCGCCTTTTGCGCTCGCTCAGCGTGACGAGCAAGCTCAGGGAGTTCACGGCGCTCGGATACCCTGCACACGTGCTCAACGGGGTGATCGGGCGCGCGTTTGCTCGGACAAAGGACGAACGGCTCCTACGAGCAAGACAATGTTCGCAGTGGTGAGGAGGTTTCTTACATAGCCCCTACCCAGACGCGCCAAAAATCCAAAAAAGACAGACAAATGTATGGTGTCGGGCTACCGTCCAAAGGCGGGTGTAGTCGACCAAGGGACCACGAACCTGGTCTGTCGACGGCACGAATTTGGGATGGGACACCTTCGGCACCCGGCTGCGTGCTACTTGGATAGCACGCTTTCGGAGTACCGACGGCTAAGGCCGAGGCAGAATTTTTTTCTGTTTTTTCTCCGCATTTCTTCACACGGTTCTTCCTGTGAAGAGAAGCAGAGAGAAACGGACTTTTCAAACTCGGTGTCGAACCACCAGCCCGACGCGCACTACAGTTAGCTGCCTTTCTGCGTTTAGGTTTGTTTTCCTTAGTCCGACCACCCGCTCGCTCGCGCGGCTCGGCACGGCACGGTCTAACCACTCGAGCGATACATTTGTGTATGCGCCCGTTGCTCGCAGCGCGCGGCGGCGTGGCGGCCCACTCGCTGCCACTTCTCGCGCTGCGCGGCGGCGCGGCCGGCGCCGACGTCTCTCAGCTCGTGCTTGATGCGACCTTCTACCTGGGCACTGCGATGGCGTCGATGGCGGGCACCATCACAGCAGGCTCGTGCGAGATGGTCGAAGCGGGCGTCGGCGAGCGAGACGGTGGCGGTCGGCGGCGGCTCGCCTGGGGGAGGCGCGGCCTCGGACGCCGCGTATGCCTCGCCGACCTCGGGCTCAGGAGCCTGCTCCTCCGCCTCGACGCCCCCCCCCACCCTCCCCACTCGCTCGAGCGCCATCAAGCCCGCGCCTGCTGCCACTCTCGAATCTGCCGGCGCAGAACGTGGATGGTGGAGAGGAAAGTGTGCTCGAGCGCCTCGCCCGTCATCGGGCTCGTCGACTTGGTCGCGAGCCAGCGCTCCATCGCCGTCCGCTCGTACGCATGCCCGTCCGCCGCCATCACCGGGTCAATCATCAGCTCGGTCGTGATCGGGCAGATGAAGTCGGCCGGCGGCTCCTCCTCCCTCGCAGCCGGCGCCTCCGCAGCTGCCGACGGCCCTTGCGCCTCTGCCGCCCGCCTCTCCTCCTCCAGCCTCGCACTCTCCTCGAGCGCCGCCGCCAGCTCCGCCTCCTCCGCCGCCGCCACCGCCTCCCCCGCCGCCTCCTCTGCCGGCGCCTCGGCCTCTTGCGACGTCCCAGCGCCGCCCCCGCCGCCCTTCTTCTTGCCCTTCTTCTTGCCCTTCTTCTTCTCCTTGGCGCACTTCTCCGACTCCTCCTCCGCCAGTAGCGCCGCCGCAGCCTCCTCGGCCGCCCTCTCGGCCTCCACCCTCTCTGCCGCCGCCCTCTCGGCCACTGCCCTCTCCACCTTCGCCTCAATCTCCGCTCTCTTCGCCTCCCTCGCCGCCGCCTCAATGGCAGACGCGCACTCGGTGTGGCCCTTCTCCTTGGCCAGCTTCAGCGCCGTAAGCCCGGCCGAGGTGCGCGCCGCCGTGTCCGCGCCCGCCCGCAGCAGGCAGAGCACGACGGCGGGGTGGCCCTCGTGGCACGCAGCGTGCAGCGGCGTGACGCCGTTCTTCGTGGCTTGATTGACCGCCGCGCTAGCCCCGAGGAGCAGCCGGGCGATGTGGACGTGGCCCTCCTGGCACGCGATGTACAGCGGCGTGAAGCCGCCGTCCTTGGCTTGGCTGATCGCCGCACCAGCCTCGAGAAGCAGCCACACGCACTCGAGCTGGCCGTTTAGGCATGCCATGTACAGCGGCGTGGTGCCGTTCTCCTTGGCCTGATTGACCGCCGCGCGGGCCTCGAGAAGCAGCCGGACGACGTCGAGGTGGCTGTTCTCGCACGCCTTGTACAGCGGCGTGGCACCGTCGTCCTTGGCTTGGTCGACCGCCGCGCCGGCGCCGAGAAGCAGCCGCACACACTCGAGCTGGCCCTTCTCGCACGCGATGGCCAGCGGCGTGGCGCCACCGTCCGTGGCTTGGTTGATCGCCGCGTCAGCCTCGAGGAGCAGCCGGACGCACTCGAGCTGGCCATTCTGGCACGCCATGTACAGCGGCGTGGCGCCGCTGTTCCTGGCTTGGTTGATCGCCGCGCTGGCCTCGAGGAGCAGCTGGGCGCACTCGAGGTGGCCTTCCTGGCACGCGAGGAACAGCGGCGTGGCGCCGAGTTCCCTGGCTTGGTTCACCGCAGCGCCGGCGGCGATCATGAGACGGACGCAGTCGATCTGGCCAGCTTGGCTCGCGGCGCTCAGCGGCGTGGTGCCGTCATTCCTGGCCTTGTCGACCGCCGCGCCGGCCTCGAGAAGCAGCTGGGCGCACTCGAGGCGGCCCTTATGGCACGCGATGGCCAGCGGCGTGGCGCCACTGCCCGTCGTCGCCCCAACGCTCGCGCCGCTCTCCAGCAGCAGCCGCACCGCGTCGGCCTGCCCGAGCCAAGCGGCGTAGGTCAGCAGCGTGTAGTGGTTCTCGGCCTCGAGCCGCGCGTCGAGCAGGGCCGTGAGCGCCGCGCCGCGCGTCCGCCCGGAGAGGAGGGCGCGCAGCAAGGTCAGGTTGCCCTTGGCCAGCTCGGCGAGCAAGGTCTGGCTAATAATACTGGCACTCATGGCGGCCTCGCGCTGGTTCGCAGTCACCTCCGCGATGTGCTGCCGGAAGGCCTCGACGCACGCGCTGTGGCCGTCCTCCTTGGCCAGCTGCAGCGCCGTCTTGCCGCTATCAGAGCGCAGCTTCGTATCCGCGCCCGCACGCAGCAGGCGGAGCACGATGGCGGGGTGGTCGAACGTGGCGGCGTGCATCAGCGCGGTGCCGCCTTTGATCTCCTGCAGGTTGACCTGAGCGCCGCGCTGCACCAGCAACTCGATCACCCGCTCGTTGCCTTGGCTGGCGGCGTACATCAGCGCGGTGCCGCCGTCGCCGCTCTGCAAGTCGATCTCCGCGCCGCGCTGCAGTAGCAGCTCGACAACCCGCTCGTGGCCCTCCTCGGCGGCACCCATCAGCGCGGTCTCACCGTTGCTGTCCTGCAAGTTGATCTCCGCGCCGCGCTGCAGCAGCAGCTCGCCCACCCGCTCGTGGCCGTGGTGGGCGGCAAGCATCAGCGCGGCGACGCCGCTCCTATTGCCCGCCTCGCGAGTCGCGTTGACCTGCCCGCCGCTGTCCAGCCACGCCAGCAGCGCCGCCTCGTCGCCTTGCGCAATCGCTAGAGTCGCCTCTGCGGGAAGGCTGCCCAGTGAGCCGATAGAGGCCGCGGCGCCCGAGGAAGCACCGCCTGTACCGCCATTTTATTGGGTTCCGGCTCTTTTGCCCCTGGGGTCACTTCAGACGCTGATCCCCGTTATGGCTCTAAAGTAATTTTTTTCACGCGTATTGCAATATCACTTTGCTGAATACGGTGTGCCGACTCTCTCTCTCTCTCTTGAGATTGGCGAGAAAAAATGAGTAAGAGCAAAACAGGATGGTGGTCGCGGACTCTCCCGCTGGTCACTCACTCTCGAGTGGTCACTGGTCTTTCCCAGTCGTCATGCCAATGCCTATCCAAGCACATTGACACATGCTCTCTCTCACATGCACGGCGGCATCCCGAGGGGCCGTGCATGCAGAGAGAGAGAGAGACTCTTCGAGAGAGCATTCTCGATCGGCAGCCACGAGGCTAGAAGTGGTGTTGCTGTGACCATCCTGATCTCCAATGCGCAGCCCGTCTTATATTGTGCCGTGGAGGCGGAGCCCCGAACGCTTGTGGCGGAAAGCAAAACTGCGGAACGTGTCCTGGCCATGTCCAGAGATGCATAGACAACCACAACGAAGGGACGTGGCGGGGGGCGGGCACCCCTGGCGGGCTCCACCACTTGCTCGACTCGCGCCTCCGAGCAGCTTGCTCGACTCCTGGGCACTGCCGCTGCCTTGTCGGGAGTCGCGCTCGGGTGCTACGCAGCTCGCCTCCGCGCCAGAGGTCGTTGACCTGAGCCACGGCGACGACGTGGAGGAGGCGGCTCGACCCAAGAGGCCTCGCACCAGTCGCACGGGGCTCAACGGTGGGATGCTGTCAGACTTTGTCATCCTCGACGGGCTCCACGCAATCGTGCAGCGATCGCCGTGGACGGTTGCCAACCTCCCTGAGCTCGGTCGACGGGAGGAGTTAGAGGACGGCGAGCGGCTCCTACTCTTCTTCACTCGAGGGGTGCACCATGCGCTCGCCGCAGTGCAACGCGTGGGCAGCATCACCAGCTTTGTGCACCTCTGCTCGCTGGGCAGACCGCTCCCAACCGATGTGAGGGGAACACTCACTCGCCTCCGCGCAGTTGAGCAGGAGCTGCGCGGCTGCCCGCGACAGCAAAACGGGACCGACTGCGGCTTCTTTGTGCTGTCTCTGGCGCGCTTCGTGGCATCCCTCTCCACCTTCAGCGGGGTTCGCAGAATCGAAAGCGGCGCCGTTGACAAGGTGACTGATCGGTACATTGCAGAACAGCGGCAATGGTTGCGCGGGCTGCAGGCGGCGCAGGAGGAGCCGGAGGGGCAGTGAGCGGCGGCGAGCCCTCCCGGCGAGGGCGAGGGGGAGGGAGGGGTCGGAGAGGAAAACAGCCCAGCGTGGATAGATACTAGCAGCTAGCCAAGAGACTACAGGCCGAGAGGAGACGCACCGCGTGGCCTCTGAAGTCCTACGACATCAACACACGTGCCACGTTCGGCGAGTGACGCGAGCGTGGACAGCGGGAGCTCGTTATCCTTTTCCACGGCCTCATGAACAACTCGGCTTCACAGTTTCGGGGCCGCGCTCCTGAAATTGGGGGCGAAACGAAAGAATTGCCGTCGCACAGGCGCCGCCCGAAGCGTTTTGTTGCGCGGCCACTCCTGCCGCTGCAGCCGGTTGTACCGCCGCTTGAGCGCCTCGAGGTTGAAGCCAGCAATCAACGGGTCCATGATGTCGAACTCAGCCGTTGGCATCGTCGCCCGAAAGATGTCGTTGGCCTGGAGGTGGCGAGGCGCAGGGAGGGGGCAGCTGCGGGCTGCCACTGGCGGTCTCCTCAACGGCAGCGGCCAGGCTGGCCATTACCCTGAAAAGAAATTTAGGAGTTACCCCCCACATACATTGAAAATCTGTCAGCAGCCCTCCTCCGGGAATGTACGTAAGAGCCAATACATTAAAAAAAGAGGTCGGGGAAGCAAGCCCAGATGAACCACCACCAACGAGATGACCTAACCTCGAGAGGAGAGAAGGGAGAGTGAGCGTGATGGAAGAGAGAGAGAGGGTGTGTGGTGTCGTCCTGTTTGAGAGAGAGGGTGTGGTGTCCAATGGAGTGCATCGTGTTGTGGAGGGGTCGACGTCGAGCAGCATGCGCGCTAGGCTGAGACCTCTCAGGTGCATGCGCGCCAACCACCCCCCGGTGTTTTGACACCATTATTTGGTATATTAACCTTGCGGCCGCCTAGATAGACTGAAAGAGGTAGACACCACAGGAGGCGAGGCCACCGCTGTTGCTGCTGCTGCTGCTGCTGCTGCTGCTAATGCTGCGAGAGAGATTTTTAGCAATATTTGTTTTGTAATGCTGCTGCTGCTGCTAATGCTGCCGCCACTGCTGCTGCTCTCTCCCGCCCCGCCCGCCCTCCCCGCCCCGCCCCGCCCGCCTGCCCACCCGCCCGGAAAGGCCTCCTTCCCCACAAGTAAGTCGCCCCAACCCTTTCGGCCCCTTCAAGATGGGCCTTCTCCCCCAACCACTGTGGTGCTTTATCGGGGCGGATATTTTTGGGCTATCTCTCTCAAAAAACGATGTCAAGCGCCCGCTCGCAGCCAGCACGCGCCGCGCCCCTGGGCGCTCCCCGCTGCGGCGCGCCGCCCGCGCGCGGGTTGCCCGGGCGAGCGACCGCCACCGCTCGCCCCTCAGCACCCTCTGCCCGCGCACGGCCGACGCGCAAGCCCGCGGTCGCGCGCGAGCCGTCGCTTTGCGGACGCCGCCGTCTACCCGCGCTCGCTCGCGATCGAGTCAGACGACCCTATCTTCCGAGTAGCGGAGGTGTGCTTGCACCCCCTTCCCAAGGCACAAGTAATCGCGGCGGGGCCCGCAATCTCACATTTTGCGACTCACCCCCAGCAGGCGCGTTATCGGCGTGCTGCTGCTGCACAGGTTTTGCGGCCGCCCCGAGAGGGGGAGCGGCCGCTCCTCCGCACCATCGGCCCACGGCATCCTGGGCGGCGTCGGCGCCGCCCCAACGGCCGGCTCGGGCGCTTCCCGCCCCGCCTCGGCTACACTTTGTCGCGGCGATCTAGCGGTGCGCCGCCGCACCGCGCGCCTCCCCCGAGCCTCTGCACGGCGCGATGAGCCGCCTCGGCTGCCGCCGTGGTTGCGCCGGCGCCCCTCCCGCACGGCGCGACGCGACCGCAGCCGCGTGCGTGGTCTCACTCACCTCTCCCGCCCGCGCGTCCGCCTCTCAGACCCGCGCCTTCCCTTTCCCAGGCGCCATCACCGGCACGGCCGCCGCCGCCCGTGCGGCACCCGCGGCACCTCCCGCCCCCCCTGGCGATGCTGGCCGCTACCCCGCCGCCGTAGCTACCCTCCCCACCGCTGGTGCACCGCCTCCGCCGCCCCCCTCGGCGCTTCGCCCGTGATTTTGCCGCCTCCTCCTCCACCACCACCCGTCTAAGCTTCCGCCCGCCTTCTCGCCACCGCCGTCCGCGCCACCTCAGCCGCCCTCCCCGGCGCTGCACCGGCGCTGCAGTGCCGTCGGCGCCGCCGCCCGTGCCGCCTCGGCCTCTGCGCCTCCAACCTCGCCGCGTCCGCAGCGGTTCCGCCCTCGGCGCCTCCCACCTCTCACCCGCCAGGTCGAACTTCCGCCGACGATGGTGCCACCGCTGCCGCCCCCCCCGCTCGAGCCTCGGCCGCCGCACCCCGCCGTCCGCGCCCCGCCGCCACCCCCTCCGTCACGGCACACGCCGGCACCACCGCTACTACCGCTGGCTCCGCCCTAGACGCCGCCGACCGCTCGCAAGAGCGGCGAGCCCGGGGCCGACACCCCTCTGTTAGGTGACGGTCGACGGCTCCTTTCGAGGCTTTGTGGCCCTTTAAGAGGGCACCAGCAGCTTGGGGGGTGCGCGCTGGATGGCCGGCGCGGTGGAGCAGCGGCGCGGAGCCGGGGGTGCGTCGTGCGGCCGTCGGTGGCGCGACACGCGGCCTCCGGTAGCGATTCGCCGCGGCTCCGGCGGTGCGATTTTTGTGCGTTTTCGAAGGCTGTGGGCGGGATAGGGCTGGCTAGACCGGCCCTGGTGTGCCCTAGTGTGTTCCCTTACACCCCTGGCCCGGGAGCAGTAGCGCGGTGATCGTCCCGAGGGCGTAGGGGCTCAAAAAACAATTGATCAAGTTTTCAGCCACTTAGAGCACACAGTGATCAGTGTCCCTCCTCGCACCATCGACAGATAGGCGCTCGATTCCTCCTCTCGCTGCCTACTCGCTGCCTCGAGGGGAGGAGGGGAAGATGTCGAGCGGGCGCCACTGCGCTAGCACGGCCGGAGGCCCCTCCCCGAAAGGCAAGTTTTAGCCACAAGAAACCCGAGACCCCTCCCCACCACCCCAATCCCCCCACCCCCTTGCTCCCCTCCCCCCCTCGGGAGGGCCGAACTGAGGCGCCCGTGGGGACCCCGCAATTCCCTTCCCCCCTCGGAGGGCCGGACTGAGGCGTCGAGGGCCCCGCTCTTTCCCTCGCATAGCGGCCACTCTTCGGATCGCTGGTCGAGCGACCCGGGGGATGCCCCGCGCGCCTGACCCAGGCGCGAGAAACGAATCTGCGAGGCGTGGCCGCACACGCGGCCCGATGGGGAGGAACGGGGCGAGCCCCCTCCAACCCACCCGCGCTAGGTCTCGGGTTTGACGCACGGGGTCACTCCCGCGAAACCCGTGAACTAGCCGGGGCAGTCGGAGAAGGGGCAACTCCGTGCACTGACGGTCGGCCGTCAGAAAACACGCCTCCGTGGCTCGGGTTACACCAATCCTCGCTACCCAACGCGGCCAAAGGATATCCACCTCGAGAACCTCGAGATTAAAAAAATGCACCAGCCAGGCGCCGGACGGAAGAATCATCAAGTCGGACCGGGCGGCGATGCAGCGACCGAGGCTGGCCGTCACGCTCGCGGTATGCTTCATTGCCGGGCCAGTGCTGTGCTCCCCGAGGCGCTCCGGACGAAATGTCGGCGGGCGGATTGTGCCGGTGCGGACGTCTGGGGTGCAGACAGGTCCAGTCGCGGTTGCATTGGCAGCGGCAGTCGCTGGCTTCACGCTCGGAGAGAGGTCGCAC